GAAGAAGAAGAAGAAGAAGAAGAGAGGAGAGAGAGAGAGAGAGTATTTCCACTACCGTATAATCAACACATACATTTAGCCCATGTTTGAGAAATATTTTTATGACTTCTACTATCTAGTCAAAGCTAAAATTTAATTTCAATCGCATATTCAAAATTACAACTCATTATTATCCATACATTTCGTGATCCACACCATTATGCCTCTTAAAAAATTTCTAAATAGTTATCAATAATCTTTCCCGAGTAGAGGCTTAAAACATCACTTAAAATTTGAAAGACTTACTAAAATGATGTGGTGAAAGTTATTTGTTCTTCAAGAATTTGAGTAAATAACCTATTTGTTATATGTGTATATTTTTCAGGCTTTTGTGAAGGCATGGAAAGCCGTCTGCCAGGCTAAATCCACAAATCCTATTCTTTATATACCCCCAAAGAAGACTTTTAAGTTGAAGCCTTTGACATTTAATGGTCCATGCAAGTCATCTCGGATAGATATTCTGGTAATATCTTATTTTTACATTGTACATTTGCACCTTACATCTCCCTTTGTTATTAATGTAACAGACCACGAAATGTGGTCAATTTATGAAAAAAAATAAAATAAAAAAAATACTGGTAATCCGTGTATTCATATACTTAATCAATTAACGTAGTAAATAATGTTATTTTAGCAAAGAAATTGCATGAAAATGATCGTTTAAAGAATGAAAGGAGCAATATCGAAACGATATAATCTCAATTGTTGAAGTTTTACAAAAATGTTTGCCAATAGGCATTTGAATATTGGTCGAACATTACTTGTCATCACTTAGTCATAGGATTAATTCAATCTTCTATTTATCTCAATACTAACAGTATGTTGGAAAAAAAAGGAAGATTCATGACTACACATGAAGAAATATATTGAAGATAACATATAAATTATATATACTTGATTAAGTGGTAGAACAAAATTAAACTTATCTTTAAGTAAATTGTTGTTTCCAAATATATTTAGACATAAAATACACATTTTTTTTACTGGGAAATTAAAAAAAAGTATGTTTTCTGGGACTAAAGAAGAGGTTACTTTCAAAATAGTAATTTATGTCTAATTTTGACTTACAAAGAGAATTATTACTTTTAAACTTATCTTACTTATAAGTCAATTTTTAAAACTTAGCCAAACAGGCACTAGAGAATTACAATAGTAAAATTGACTTCGAGATTTTGAGGACCTTAGCCAAATTTTATATTAGAAGTTAAAAATAAAATTACATGCAATAATGAAAAATAAAAACTATTATAGGGAATTCTACTCACAATCTTAGACAGCAATCTATGTTATTTATAGTCAGATCGACCCAATATGAATGTTGAACTTTTTTTTTTAATGTATATTTCAGGTGTCAGGAATGATTGTTGCACCAAGGAAAACAGAATGGGCAGGGAATCAACTACATGCATGGCTCATTTTTGCAAATATTAATGGGCTAATTGTATCAGGGAAAGGGACCACTAATGGCCAAGGTTAATCTTGGCGGCCGCAACCCAGTTAATGTAAGTCAAATTTCAATAAATATCTAAAATACTGATTCTTATTGTACTTCAAAACAAAAGAGTTCTAACTCCAAAATGTTCTAATATGTAGGGTGGAAAATGCAGGGGACCAACTGTAAGTATTTATATTTATAATCCACAATTTCATGGAAGACAACATTCAAATTAAAAAATTATTTTACGCACTTGTTTTTCTTTTATATTAGATGAAAATCACAAAAAATATATTTTCGACTCGAATAATAATTTTGTACTTTGCTTGCTGATGGCCAGGCAATTACATTCAGGAGATGCCATGGTCTTAGACTGAGTGGGTTGACACATATAAATAGCCCAGCAGTCCATATCTTAATTACTGCAACTAATGGTGCTTTAGTCTCTAATCTCCGCATAATCGCACCTGGCACGAGCCCTAATACTGATGGCATAGACGTTTCTAGCTCAACAAATGTTCAAATTCGAAATTCTTTCATAGGAACTGGTATTTAATTTCTCTTTTTTCTTAGGGTTAGACATAGTCTTGTCCGATTCGATTCGATTTTAAAGAGAACCAAATTGAACCAAATTTTTTGGATATTTAGTAAGTTGAACCGCGGGGTCTAAATTTGATTATGGAATTTTTATCAAATTTATTTGTATTGAATTTCCCTTTTTCTTTTGGCTGTTCCTAAACTAAAACCAACACAGGTGATGACTGCATAGCCATTAGTGCTGGATCTTCCAACATTAATATTTCGGGAATAACATGTGCACCGGGACATGGTATCAGGTTGGTTCCTTTGACAGTTTTATTTATTTATTTTTGCTGCTGCACCTTATTAATTGAAATCACTCATAATTATTCGATTTGTATTCACTTATAATTAAAAATAATGTAGCATTGGAGCCTTAGGACATGGAGGTTACGACGTTGTAGAAAACGTACGTGTGAGGAATTGTACATTGAGAAATACATTGACTGGAGTAAGGCTCAAGACTTGGCAGGTATAAATTCAAGATTACTCAAATTAAAAAATTATTATTGTAATCTTGATTTTAATCCTTTTTTTAGACAATTATGTATATTGATTAATGGACGCTTTGGATTGCTTCACAGAGAGGAAAAGGATATGCAAGAAAAATCGCTTTTGAAGGAATAAAGTTTGTGGATGTTCATCACCCTGTTCAAATAGATCAATATTACTGCCCCTCTAGGGTTAATTGCCAAAACTTTGTAAGTACAACAAACACAAAGCCCTCATTTTTCTTTGAACAGATATGCGAATAAAAAACATCTACTATGCTTACGTGAATATTTTTAATTGGTAACACATTTATAAAGACTTGGAAAGCTATCTTAAAATGTCGACTTTGTTAAAAAGAGTAACTCTGTATCCTTTGATTATTATTTCAAAATTTAAAATTTAGCCGTTAAGTCATGTAAGATAGTGACTTGTTTGAAAATACCAATTTGGAAATTCGATACCTTGTTTGAGTATCTAGATGGACTGACTGGCTCATTTGAACATTGTGAGCTCTAATACCATATTAAAACTTTGAGAAAAAACTCTAATCCTTGTGTTTTGATTATATATGGATTTACCCTTTACAATATGTATACAAATACATATAATATGCGTACGTTTTTTGATCGTAGACGTCGACAGTTGCTATAAGTGACATATCGTACACTGCTATTACTGGGACCTCACTGGATGAGCAGGTGATTGATCTGAGTTGCAGCCAAAGCGTTGGGTGCACCAATATTAAACTGGATAGGGTTTATATTACATCATCAACTCCAGGAAAGAAAGTTTATGCAAACTGTGTCAATGCTCATGGAAAATCTAGCCATACAAGACCTGCCGTCAATTGCCTGCTACCATAGAAACTCATTCTCCATTTTTCTTATTAACTTCTTAATTCCAGCTGTTATTGTAATCTGTTATAAATTATTGTTTGCCTGCTGGTAATAACAACTTGAAGACTCGTTATTAATTACTATGTTATGTTTTTTACTTCATTCTTATATAATTATGTACTCGTATTCCATATATTGTTTTTTCGATGTGTAAGTTCTGGCTACGCCTTGGGACTGGAAAATTTTTGTTTATAGACAACCGAATTTCCAATATATTGGCTTCCATAATTTAAAAATAAGAATTTTTCAGAAGAAGGAAATATTATTTGCGTTGCTTAATTATTAGGAAGGTACAGTAGTGAAATCACTAGTATTTTTTTGAGTTTTGGTTTAAGAATTTAGATGTATTCAACTTGGAAGGATACAATCTTGACAAAAAGCTCAGGGGCGTGATGTTTGTAAGGGTTTTTGGGTGCATTTGGTGCGTTGTATTACACTGAATATGATCATGCACTAACACAAGTTTTAAATAATAAAAACCCATCACACAATTCATGCATACATGCTGCTACTATTAGGAATTGTAATACCGCCTTCACCCTACCATACCTTTGTTGAAATTTTACTTATTTATGAACTACGAAATTTAAAATATTTATTATTTTCCTTCAAGGATAGTCTTTGTGTTTAAATAGAATTAATTATTAGAATTATATGTTTCGTGAAATTTTTGAAATCCTTCGAGAATATTGATCACTATCAATCACGATTTTTGCTCCTCCTTGAGAATTGGTAAGTGTCTAAAACTCCTGGTGAATTTATACATGTATCCGGGCCTGTAAATATGTACATTTAGGAATTCTTATGACTAACTATGGCATAATCTCCTATATATTTCATTTGTTAGGTAAAATTTAAAGATTGGGAAAGAAAAAAGAGAAAAATTGAATGAAATCCAAAGGTCGGAGACCAAAGTACAAATATTCAATAATTGATTCAGACCACAAAATATTGATTGAAGACCATACAAAATCATTTGGAGGAAAGTTGAAGCTAAAGGATGGAATTTACACAAGAAAATGACTTAAGGGAATAAAGGATTAAATTCAAGTACTAAAACATATCAAGATTTTAGGAGGTGAGCCACGCCAGCACGCACGTGCCGGCCCCTTTTCCAAAACCAAGATCAAAAGCTTCACCAGACGCGTGTGAGCTACACAACTCCACGCGCGTGTGGTTACCATCCAGCCAAAAAATCTACAATTTCCTTTGGCAAATCAAACTGTATATTGAATGAATTTTAGAAGATTTCTTAACCTAATTTCGAATCTTATAAATACAGAATGTGGGAAAAGCCTCATAAATACATCTTTCATACCACATAATTCATCAAATCTTGCAGTAAAAGACAGGCAAATCATCACACATTTGGGCAAATCAAGGGGAAAATATGAGATTTCAATTTATTGACGATCGAATCTTAGTTTTGGGCAAAGAAGGGGAGGCACAACTGGAATTCAAGAGACCATTGAAGAGATCCAAGTTTCAAGATTTCTCCTCTTCTACTTCATTAATATAAAATCCGCATGATATTCCATAATTCAAAGATGATTTCTTTTAAGTTTGTAATGTTAGGCTAGATTTTTGTTTATTAATATTTCGATGTTTAATATGTGTTTAGTCTTGGATGATTGTTATTAAATTCAATGCTTTTAAATTAATTAATTATTAATTGAATTGATGTGTGAATTTTATTATAATCGAGAGAGTTCATAAGACAGATAGCATTATATAAAACCTGTTGCGAAGTCCGACAAAGGATAGAGATATACCCTATAACTTCTAGGATTTCAATAAATATTTCAATGTTTTAATGCATGATTTCATGTTTCCATCTTCCATGGAAATATAGGAAGGTCACGTGAGAGGATAAATTTACTTATATTCAAGAAAGATTATTATATAACTTAGGAATGCTGATAAACAAGAATGCATACATTTTGTCAAGTCTTGATTGCTTTAAAAGTGGAGATTCAAAATCTTAATAATCATTCCATATAGTTTACAAAGGCTCTCATAATTTGATCATTATAATAGGTAGCTAGTTAGATAAATTAGTATAAAATTGATAATCAAACTTCGCTATTAATTAAAGTTAACATTGATTGATACTAGATTTAATACATAGTATACGTGGGATGGTATCTTATTCATAACTTTTTCACTTGTTCATAATATCATGCATTTACATGATTTTGTATGATTAAGTTTTTGGCGTTGCTACTGAAAACTATAGTATTTGATTTGTTTTAGTTTTAATCTGAGTTGTTCTATTGCTTTCTTATTTTTTAAATTAATTTTAGAAAAAATTACAGTGTTTGATCTCCTTTTTAGGATTTGCATACAAAGTTTGAGACACAGTGATTGTGCTCTGTTTGATCCAAAATTTGTATGAAAATCCAGGTCGAGATTAAAATAATAGATAGAAGCACACCAAAAATAGCAAGCAGAGCCAATGGGAAAAAATATATAAAAACAAGTGGCCGTTGGGGAGGATGAAAATGCAGCACATTCAGTGGTAGCTACAGGCAACAAAAATGAACGATTAATGGAGAAATACATGGTTCCACCAGTGACAGAAAGTCAATTTAGGATAGCTTATACAATATTTGGGCATGCTAATTTCCATTTGAGGGTGATGTGATAAACATATTCCAGAATGTATTACAATTCTTTATGAGAACCACGACAATCCAATACTCATATCTCAAGGTTTTTGGACATGTGTGCAGTATTTGAATACCCACGAGTTTCTAGTGATACAATTTGACTGAAACTCTTGCCATACACTTTGAGAGATTCAAAAAGAGAATGGTTGGATACATTCCCACCTCATAGCGTCACTGCTTACGACAGTTTAAGCCATAAATTCCTGATAAGAAAACTTCCTTTAAAAAAGGATTGCCAATGAATGATGAATTCATCACATTCTCTGAGCTTGATTAAGAATGCTATTATGAGGCATGAGAGAGATACAAAGGGCTACTCTAACAAATGTTCACAACATGGTTTGCATAAATGGTTTGACAAGCAGGTCTAATGTTGACCTTGGCATGATGGTTAAGTTACAAAAAGGACAACAGATCAAGTATAGGAAATAATACAGGATTTAGCTTTATACTAGTGCATTATGACTGACTAAGAGAGCTGGTGGAAAGAGAGCTGCAAGATGCACCAGCTTGGCACGTTGACAGTGATTTTGGCACAAAGCTAAAAAGGTAGATGGTATCGCAACTAATCAAACAATGAATGCAGTTCAAGCAGTTAGGTTAAGATGCAACAATTGCGAAGGTAATCATGGAACTGAAGATTGCATTGTGAGGAGTTTGTTTGTTAAATCAACCGAGAAAGCGAATTACATGTAGAACTACCAAAGCCAGCAAAATAATTCCTATTCTAATATATACAATTTGGGTTGAAAATCATTCAAACTTCTTCTGGACCAATACACTATCCTTTTAGGGTGTACCATATCTGAATGCACCATCAGCTTTTCAGCAGTCTAAAAGCAACCTTCATAGGAAGAAAATTTGTCAACATGGTTGAAGCATCACTTAAATCATGAAAAAGACTAACAAAAACTTTTAGATTCAAGGGGCTGCTATAAAGATTTTGGGAAATCATATGACAATAAGTGTCATAGAGAATGAAACAAAAGAAGATTCACCTTTGAAAGTATTAACTCCAATTCAGGTATACATATCTCCAATCCTTTTTCCTCAAATGTTTTGCAAAAGGCCAGAAGGGAAAACGTTCCAGGCAATTACTACACAGAGTGAGATTCAAATTCCAAAATTTACAACCGAGAGAGAGAGGTGGTGTTGAATAAAAATGTACCTTCTACAGCTGAGAAGCACGTAGATTAGTCTGAATGATCTGCAAAAATAGTCCAGATCAGAAGTCAGACAATTTACAAGTTAAGACAATCGCTCTTGTCAAGACATATTTGCCTCCTCTTCCATGTTCTTAAAGATTGCAGAAAAAGAAGCTCGAAGAATAATTAAAAAGTTATTGGACATATTGAAAAAGCTTCATATCAATATCTCATTACTTGAGACAATATCTCAAATACCAAGCTTTGCAAAGTTCTTAAATGAGATTTTCTCATAGAAAATGAACTTCAGTTAATTTGAGACCATTGCGCTAAACGAGGAGTGCTTGCAGTGGTATCTTACAACGCAAACTACCTCCTAAACTAAATCATACAAGAAGCTTTAAAATACATTTTTCTGGGACAAGTAAAAAATAGCTTAGTTTTAATTGCTTATGTGATTCTGGGACAAATGTAAATCTAATACAGTTTTCTGTTTATAGAAAACTAGGTTTGAAAGAGTAAAAGGACACTACAATCTTCCTTCAACCAGAAGACTAATAAATTAAACACCCACTAGGAGTAGTTGAGAACATGGTTATTACAATAGGCAAGTTCATATTTCTAGTAGATTTTGTGGTCTTAGACATAGATAAATGGGACGTGTCATTAACATTGGGACGATCTTTCTTATCTACGAGTCAAACTATCATCGACTTTATTATAAGCAAGAGAAATTTCATGTTTATACCACTATCAAAAAGCCAACCTATAATGAGAAAAAAGTCAAAAAGTTAAAGAGGAATGAGTGAAGGATCATGTAAAGTGCCCAAATAAAATAGGAATAAGTGGAATCATTGGAAGGCTTAAGGATGAAAAATGAACTCTTCAAGCCTAGAAAATTGAGAAGGGGTTGGCACTGCTGAACATTGTGTTCAATGCTTTGTTGATGAAGTTCACTTTAAACCACCACGATTACCTTTAACACCCCAACCCACATGGACGGAAACATCACTCAAACCATTGTACCTTAGCCGTAAAGTTAGTTCAATATATTTTTAGTAGAAGGTATAAAGATTAAATTTTAGAATTTAATTAAAGAATTTTTTTTTATTTAAACAATAATCCAATTCTAAAAGAAAAAAATTTCAAAAAATGTTTTTAGAATGAGTTTCATGTATGTAATGACTATTGACATAAAATTTTGGCAAAACTTAAAAAGTAATGTTGCTGTGCCAATTTTTTGTCTCAAATAGTAATTGTCAAAATAAATTTGTTTTCATAGTTATCGACCTTGAAACTTCATCAAATTTTAATGTAAC